GCGGCCATCCTGCAGAATGGAGTTCAGTATGACCCTCACTCACCCACCACACCACACCACCCTGAACGAAAAATATATTGACTTGACAGCTAGAATTGATTGGTGTTTCAGCTATCAATGTTTTGCGAAATGAAACTCTCCTCGACCCACCCACCCATAAAATTTAATGAAACTTTTTCGTTTCGTGTAAAAGATCGACAATTACCGATGGCCCTAACCGTGTTGCGTTAAGTCTGTTGCCACGGCTGTGCCACTTCGTAATCCTCTCACTAGCGTCAGAGGTATTCTATGACGTCAGGCTTTCACGGCCGTGTGCCTTGCTGATTCCACCATGCATGTCCAATGTTTCAATAGCCCCAAAGAGGTACTACTTGCACGGGCCACACAATGCGTGATGTACATTTTTCGTGACCATGTCTACCACAAAACGTGCGAGACACCATAACTCTGGGGGGGGGGGGGGGTGCCAGTTTTAGAGAAATGGACTTGTAGTGAAAGGACCAACGGCTTACAAGTTACCCATAGTTGTCCAACACTGGCAATTCTAAGCATGATGTTGACAAGTCATAACGTTTAACAGTTAGCAGGTTGATCCTTTCTTCTCAGTTTTAGTCCTTGGCTCTCCATCCGAGTTTAATTCTGGACTTGTAGTGTTTCGTATTTGTGGCAGTTGAAGTTTAGCAGCAGAGAAGACATGTAGATCTACCGTAAAGTCGCGGATAAAAGCCGGGCTTATAAGCATATAAGCCGCTTTCTGCATCAGGCTTTAATGCAAACCATGCTTGTATGCAAACCATGCTTATATGCACCACTGATATTTTTGCCAGGCTTGTATGCACGTAGATCTACCACTGACTACCGGTATGGCAGCAGTTTTACTATGCACCGTACATAGTGCATGCACTCTTGACATACCCGATCCGCGCTTGCACAGCAGCCAGGCTTCTACGCGCGACAGGCTTATATGCATTTTACCCGTTTGGTTTTCAGGCTTCTCTCTCTCCGCGATGTGCTTGTATGCAAACCCGGCTTTTATCTGCGACTTTACGGTATGTGTGGTGAACCCCTGGGCATATAGCAGGTGTGGCCAGGTCTACACACGCGCGATCACACCCCCGCCACTGAAGCACTGAAAGGATGCAGTGGGACACTTCAGTAGCCGGGCGCCCATCGCAGCTCGTGCCAGTACTGTGCAAGTACAGCGTTTCGTTTGGAATTAACTTTCGCTATATTCGTTAGGGGGCACGAAATAACTAAAGTTTGTACCAAACTAAGTTTTTTTTCTGAACGTTCGGGGTGACGGACCTCGACCAAAAACGAAATTTCGTACGGAACCAACCTGCTGGTGCAGTGATCTAACGAAAGATTTCGTGAACGAAAATTTGTACTTACTGAAGTGTACAGTAGTTGCACTGTCTTGGTGGTGGACTCTGTGCTGTGCAGCACTGTGCACGATCATGCTTTGCACGTGTCCCCCATGCAATGCCAATGCAAGTCAGTGGTACGTGGATTCATTGTACAGTCGGACCTCGCTTAGCCGAACACATCCGTTTTCCACAAAAAAATATCCGGATAGGCGAGTGAACTGGGCTATCCAACACACATACTGTATGTATGCATGACATAATATGCTGTAAATCGGTAGCCAGCGATTTTCTTCCGGATGGCGAGGGATCCGGATAAAAGAGGACCGGATAAGCGAGGTCTGACTATAGTGCTGATGTTGCTGTGGTCCCATGCACTGTGCAGAGGGTTATTCGCAATCTTCTCCAGCTGGCTGAGCTTCCTGAGAAGGACCGAAGGTGAGAGCAACAGTGTGTGCATGTGCACGTGTGAGCATGCGTTATTTTTTTGGGATGCGTTTGGCAGAAGATACATTGCATTGTACCAGATTTTGTGCTAGAAACGTTATGTCTGTCCTTCCCTAGTCCGCGGCGAATCGTTCCTCATTCAGGAAGAATACAGGGTCCAGTTCTATGAGTTAGAATCGGATGTAGGTGCTTTCTTTGGCCTTAATTTGCTGCAAAGGCTCTGGCATGTTTTCTGAATACTGTAAGATATGAAGTTGATTGTTCCAACTAGGAACACACGCTTCTTGCCGAACTTGACACTTGACTGACTCACGACTGCCATCGGGAGCACAGGAGGAGCACGTCGCACCTTCCACTCGGCAAAGAAAGCACCACTCCCTGCTCAATACACAGTGTTTCGGGGAATTCACCCCTCATCAGTTGAGCTTGAGTAGGCTGAGGAAGATTATGCCTGAAAAGCACCACTTATATACTGCTCTCCAGGCCAAACCAAATGTAAGATATGTTATTATAACGAGTCGCAAATTTAATGATTGTCCAAAATTCATAGGCTAACGAGAAGATACGTTAACGATCTTGCAGTCTTGAGGCATATCCGCACATTACACATGTGAGGCATTGCAGCCTCAACAGAACTTATTCTAACGAAGAAATGTACTTGGTCCGGCTCATCGCAATTGTCGCTTATCTATCGCCACTAAGAACAGGAGTTTTTTTACCGCTCTGTGAAATTTCAAACAGGCATAGTGAGGAAGCATGATACATAAATACTCTCTGCCACAAGTAAAAAAATTCACCAATGGAATCCGGTGAAGCGAGTTGAAGAAAGGAAGCAAGGTAAGCAAAATGCACGAAATAAATCAGCGAAGGAGCGCGCTCTTGCACTCACACTAGTAATACAGGTCCAGAGTTCATTCAGCTCTGCATCTCTTGAGCCGCATTACATGAGCTGACATTTGCTGTTGTCTAGCTGCTGGCGTAGACTGGTAGAGCATCTCTTGCGTTCTCAGCCTGTCGTATGGCAGCAATGGGAAAGGAACAGTTGTGGCTGTCACTTCGGTGCTTGAAGAGGAACCGTGGGCAGTGTGACCTGTGTGTCACCACAGTGTGTTCAACAAAGCCTTGGAATGAGGCATACAGGCCTCTCCAGACAGCTGTCATACGCTCCGCTGGATACGCTGGCCACAACTCTTGTAATGCGGCTGCTTGGTCCACCAAGATTCAAGAGAAGGAACAACCAGCACGTCGGCCATCGCATCAAAAACACCTTTCTTCTTCAGCATTTCTCTGCCGTACACGCGTGCCTGTCACGCTCTCCAGGAGTTGCCCCTGCTACAGTTCCGGTCTTCGGGTCGCTGCGCTTGGCTTTTGGCAACACAGACATGCACAGTGAATGGCCAGGTTCCCACTTCCCAAAAAAGTCGAAAACATCGCGATTCAAAGCGCTAGTCGCGATCATTTTTTCTTTGGTGCTTCCTTTGATCTTGCCATCACGACCTCCCAAGCAAAAGTAAGTTAGTAATCATGATTGGACTGGGTTTTACCTGTCAAAAAGTGCGTGTGGGATAAGCGACGATTGCGATGAGCCGGACCAAGTAACTGGTTAAAACGTTAGATTCAGACCTTCGTGTAAGAAAAATCCAGGAGAGTGAACAATCACTCTCGCTATCCTCTCAAGGAGAGTGGTGGGAGAGCAGTCCCCACTACCCCCCCCCCCCCCCAAAAAAAAGTCGCTCGCCTTATCTATCCAAGGCGAGCACAATACGGGTTTTTTCAACATCTTGCCATACCCCAATCGGATTCAATACCCAATAGCTGCCAAATTCGTTCTGGAAAATCGCCGTACGCACTACAAATGAAAGCTGTTCGGACCACAACTTTAGTTTCCCTTCATCAGGGACAATGACACACGCATTGGGAAATTGAGACAATTCGCTAAGATCCATGGTATTCTTGTAGTATTCATCGTAGAGCGCTCCTTTTGAGGCTTTGTTCTGTAGCTGACAGCTAAAGACCCTTGCCTGGCGTCACACGTACACAGGTTTATGCATGCCCGGACTGTCACGCAAAAGAGGGAAATCCTTTATGTCAACATTATGTGTGCGGAAGTGAAAATTTGCAACGGTACGTAAAATGCCCTGCGAGTGCCGTAACTCCACTATTGGACCTCAGATCGACTGCCGATTTGTTGGAGCCGACAGCTGAGAACTTTCTAATGCGAATAGATCTTTCGATTACTCGATTCCGTTCAGGGAAAGCCGAGTTACGAAATATTTGAGTGTTTTCAGAACTTCATAGTGATGCGGATGCGCTCGAAATTCTCAAGGCGCGCGACGAAAAGTGCGCCCTAAAAGAAAATAAGGAGAGCGAAGGCGCGCGAGAGCGATCGCTCTCCTTTTACCAGATGGTCTGAGATTGATTTCCTCGTTATATTTACATGTCTAAAGCTGTGTTCACAACTGGCGCGTGTATGCGTGAAACCACGCGTTTGTGCGTATTTTTGCTGGCTTTTGGGGCGTCATGCGTACGGAAACGCCCCGAAATGGAAATTCCAACATGTTGGAAGTTTCAGCGCGTATCAGGCGCGTACCAGCGTACATGCCAGTCACTTTCACGGGCGGGGTCAAAAAATTAGTACTCGAAGGTGTCGCACGTGCTAAATACGACTCGGATTGCTGTTTTTTGTGAAAGGCTGAGCGCGCGTTTGGGCACGCATGAACCGCAAGCGTACCGCGTACACGCGCCAGTTGTGAACACAGCTTTACAGTAGGCTGCTGCAGTTGTAAGTTGCTTCTCTTTGTCGCCTGCGCTTGCTGTGTGCTGCAGGGAAATGCTGCGGCACTTTGACGGACAGGAGTATTGCAATATTGTCAATGTCCTGTCGGCTCTGCCATACGTCACACTCGACAGCATTGCCGAAGGTTTGTTGCTGTTGTTGTTGTTGTTGTTGTTGTTGTTGTTGTTGTTGTTGTTGTTGTTGTTGTTGTTGTTGTTGTTGTTGTTGTTGTTGTTGTTGTTGTTGTTGTTGTTGTTGTTGTTGTTGTTGTTGTTGTGCATTCTTGCGAGTTTCATGCGTTACCAGTGTTGTTCTGCTGTGTCCGCCCGTTGAAGACTGACCACACTAAGACCAGAAACATTGTCACTGGTTTTAGCCTGTGGTTGTTTTTCTCAGCAATGAAAACTGTGCCTCTTGCACACAATTGACAGTTTGAGTTTGGCTGGAGTGGGCTGATAGACTAGTGTCTGGCCACCTTGTTCTTTTGTTCAATTTTTGCTGTCTGTGTTTGTGTGTGTGTGTGTGTGTGTGCGCGTGCGTTTGTGTGCACGTGCGTGTGTGTGCACGTGCGTGTGTGTGCATGTGCGTGTTTGTGTGCACATGCGTGTGTGTTTGTGCACGTGCATTTGCATGTGTGTTACCATGCCTTGCTTTGCTGTGCGATGCAGTAAAGGACGATGAAGATCCCAGCTGCATCACGGCTGGTTCTCTGATCACCGTGACTACGCAGCTGAAGAGAAGTACTATCGGAGTAAGTATGGTAGAACAGTCGGCTTTTAGCAACTTGGTTTTGCACCTAGAGTGTTATGCTGCTGCTGCTAAGCGGTGTTTTATTGAACGCACAAAGCAATGATGATCTGAATGCAAGGAAAGCTGCTGCTGCTGCTGCTGCGGCGTCTGCTGGTAGTGGTAGTGGTAGTGGTAGTGGTAGTGGTAGTGGTAGTGGTAGTGGTGATGGTGATGGTGATGGTGTGTGTTACTGTGCGTGGCTGTGTGGGGCATCGTGTGGCTGTGTGTGGCTGTGTGTGTGACTGTGTGTGACTGTGTGTGCGACTGTGTGTTTTCGGAGGTGAAATTAATGCCGCCATTGTACATATGTGTCTAATTGCTACTGACCGCGCCGTGCTGCCACAACTTGCAACACCATGATGATAGCACTTCCCCTTCCTACCGACTGTGTAGAGGCGTGAAGTCAAGTGAACTGTCTTGCATCGCTGCTGCATGTGCTGTGCAATGCCAGCACTATCAGCACTATCAGCACTATCTGTACACTACATGTAGTACGCACCGTTGCTGATCTATCCATACGCTGGGATTTTTCATTGGCTACAAGTGCTGCAAACTGCACCTGGAGGTTGATGTCATTGTTTATAAGGTGACACTTTCTAACCTCACCAGGCATTTTAATGACCTCGCGCATCCATGCGCCAGCGTTGTCATATTAGAGCACTTTTTTCCTCTGGATCATACACGCTGTGCATGTTAGTTTGTCAGCACCTGGCTGCACTTGAAACCTTGACACTGGTCTGTGTGTGAATATGTCGCCCATTGATCACACTCTGTCCTGCCTCAAATAGTGTGTCTAGCTTCGCTGAGCCTTTTCTTCCTTACATAGTTGATTCCCTTTCTGATAATTTGCGAGATGTACAGCAAACTGTGTATCCTCTACAGCCTCGTTTTCTTAGTCGTAGTGAGTCAAGGCTCTTGGAGATTGGTTGCTTACAGTTTCCTTCTTTCCGTTTGTTTGCCCTTCCCCCAATGACAGGAACACTACAAGCTGCTCAGCGTTGAGGAGTTGGTGGCAGCGTACGAGTCAAATTCTGGTCATCCCAATGCATCTAGTGTCTCTACGGGTGGTAGACACTCAGCGGCTGCTGCTGCTGATTTTGGCAGTGAAGCAGCGAACTTTGACGCTGATGGTGACGACCCTCTAGCGATTGAAGACGAGCCCGAGGAGGACGGAAAGGTATTGGGTCCTTGGAAGCTTGCATACGCACTCGCGCACATGCACACACGCACGAGTGAGTGCGCACACACACGAGAGCGCGCGCGCACACACACACACGCACCGACCGGCCTGTGTTTTCTGTGTACAGTGAATCAGTTGGATGACAAGCCCACCCATTCGTTTTGTGCACGTGTGCGTATCCGTGTATGCACATGTGCATGTATGTGTGTGTGCGCGCGCGTGTTTGTGTGTGTGTGTGTGTGTGTGTGTGTGCGCGTGCGTGTGTGTCTGTGTCCATCTGCATTCTATGATGTATCCGCTTTGCCTGTGTGTTTAGCCTGCCAAGGTAAATCAATGGGTAAAGAAGAAGGACAAGAAACCTGCAAAGAAGCCCAAACAACAAAGCAAGGGTGACCGACGTAAGAAGATGAAGGAGCTCGCTCAGCAGCAGCAGAAGCAGAAAGAAGAAGAGGAAGAACAGCAGCTGGTAAGTGTGTGTGTGTGTGTGTGTGTGTGTGTGTGTGTGTGTGTGTGTGTGTGTGTGTGTGCGTGTGTGCGTGTGCGTGCATGCGTGTGTGTGAGTGATATCTTGGCCCTGTACCTGATAAGAACTATGATCAGCACTGCACTACACTGCACTGCACTACACTGCACTACACTGCACTACACTGCACTGCACTACACTGCACTACACTGCACTGCACTACACTGCACTACACTGCACTGCACTACACTGCACTACACTACACTACACTACACTACTGTACTGTACTGTAGTATAGTGCAAGTGCTCATGTGTGCAAACAATGTGCTAGCACAGACTGGGAGATGGACATTGGGAACTCTTGGCAAACTGAACCAGTCTTGTTCGTCGTAACTCAGCCGATTGTGTTTTTTGAACATCTACAGTTGCGCTCGGTGAAATCCAAACCCGAGTGCGTATTTGGCGCCCTCAACTTGCACGCCCTTGACGCCCTGGAAGTGGCATGAAAATGGCTGTGCGCACGCATTATATGTACATGTAGAAATACAACGATGTAATCGGAACTAGTTTAGGGCGCCAGCTTTGCACTTTGGGTCGGATTGCACTGAGCACAACTGTTGTAAGTCGTCTGTATAAACTGTCAGGGAAATGAACTGCCAGAAAACCGAAGAGAAATGCTAGCCCCATGAGGACTCCAACCTGGGACCTTCCTTGTCATGAGCAATGCTCTAACCACCTGAGCTACGGCACCAGGCCGAACTGAGAAGGCGCCGGCAAGTTTTCTGCCATTCTTTGCTGGCCTGCAGAGAACTGACGGGGATCGACCTTCCAGCACTTAAAGTTCTCTCCCGTATTGATCACCACGGTTCCTCACGAAAACACAGCGTTCATGGTATATCTCAAAGCACTCCATGCACTGGACGAGGGCATCGATCGTCACACGCATTGCACAAAAGCAAAACTGATGGCCCTCGCATCTTCTTCTGGTTGAAACACGCCGTGGATGGATCGTTTCCAACCGACAGCTCAACGGCAGAGGCTATTGCAAACAGACCGCAATCAGCTGAGCCAGTTTGCCGCTGCACTGATGGCCGGGCCACGCTAAAGCTCCCGCCACGTGGGTCACCATAGATGCAGGCAAGCTGTTCTTCCAGATCGGGTGGAATAAGACTCGGACCCATACTGTAGTACCGCGTGACCTGTTTGTCGGGAAGCATTCGCGACGAAGTAACCCAGTGAAAGCATCGGGTGTGATGAGTTTGGATGTGCGGAACATCACAGTCCTCTCTGACAGTGTTCTGCCTGGAATTCATGAAATGTCCACAAAGCACATTCTCTAGACCTGGGCCATGCCAATACAGCCCACTTCTGATTGCATGTGTAGCTGTGTCGATGACTGCGTCGAACACAGGACTGCCTGATTTAACAGCATCATAGTCAGCCTGGTACACCACACCTTTCCACACTTGGCCCGGTTGCCCCTTTTTGCAGAAGGTTCAAGAAGCACCACTTCTTCCGTTGCCTGAAGAGCAGGGAAGGGCCAGAGCAAGAGTACATAACCCCCCAAGAGTGTGCAACTCCCACATACCCTGCTGTGCAACAGCATTTCAAGTTGACGTCATTATTTTTGATGCAATGCTCCTTGCACCAGTGATTTACAACATGTGTACGGGTGTCAACGCATCACACGTTTTTCTTTGCAATAGTTTGTACAGGATCAGATGGGCTTTGATCCGCCACAGGTTCCGGACTCGTCTGATACTCCTTGTACAGTGCGGATTGCATCATAAAAATGACGTCAACTTGAATTTCTGCCGGGACAGCACCCATAGTCGAGTTGAACACTCTTGGGGGGGGGGGGGGGGTTACCATATTATCTCTATTACCGTACTGGCAATATATATGGTCGCAGTGAGGCCATGAAGCGTTACATTGGCACATGTTTACCGCGCGCAGGGCGTTACATGCAAAGTCGCACAGGAGCCGTTACACAGGTTTCTATATTGCCGCAGTCCTTTTTTTGCTATTGCCGCATCATTTTTTTGCTATTGCCGCATCATTTTTTTGCAAACTGCAATGAAAAGATCGTCGCACCCCGCCAGACGCGCGTTACGAACGCAACGAAAATTTGTCGCACTAGCCTGGTCGCGCGTTACGCCGCACCCCCCTGCGTTACGCGTTACGCGGCAACATATATTGCCAGTACGGTACAAACGCAGTCTCTTCTAGAAGCCCAGTCTCTATTATAAGCGCACTCGAAGAGGGCTTCGAAGATACACAAGTAAGCGCAGGGCTTATGGAGAACCATATGGATCATGTTCATGCATGTTTGATGTCACACAGTATCATATTATACACATGCTGTGGTAAAAGTCTGTGATCCCCGAGATTGAAAGTACAGACTCAGTGCACCAGGAAGCACAAAACTGCAGTCCCGGTACCTGCTGGGAAACTTTCTGCTACTGATATAATAGGCAATGTACATGTACCAGGTGGTTGAAAAATGATAAGCCCAGTCTCTAGTAGAAGCCCAGTCTCCATTATAAGCCCAGGGTCTGGACTGGTTGAAAAAATGTAAGCGCTGGGCTTATAATGGAGATAATGCGGTATGTGCTCTTGGCCAGAGCAATAGATTAACTGTCAAAGTGGCAATGCTAACACACCTTCAGCACTTCCTTATATCATCACACTTTCAGGTACTTAGCTGGAACGGAAATCGAAAGAAACATTTTGTGGTGAAAGAAAATAAAAAAATAAAAAAGTGAGCTAGCTAGTCCTGATTGTTGCAATACGTATCCTGACTCTTGTTTCACTGTATTGTGCCGTGGTCGTCATGGTTATAGAGTACAGTTAAAAGTTTTGGAAGCCATTTTATCAGCGTCTGTACAGGCCTAATTTGTGCGTACAGAAAGATAGTATAATTAGGTTGAAATTCTTCAAGTAACGTGCCGTGTTTGGTGTGGCCAAGCTTGGCCGTTAGTGTTCTAGGTGAATTGTACAGTTGCTTAGAAAAAGTGAAGAAAAAAGAGAGATTCACTGGCCAGATAAGGCCACTTCAACCAGCCATGTGGTGTAGACCAGGCTGAAATTAGTGGCAATCAATTCTTCAGCCGTGCAAGCAGTTGAACGGTGTAATCCCAGCACAAGTTACTATGTCAAACATAGCTTGTTCGCTGTCATCGCTTCCGCAATGGGCAGGAGTATGAGTAGGAGTGTGTGTGTGTGTGTGTGTGTGTGTGTGTGTACGTGTCTGTGTGTGTGCACGTGCGTTTGTTGGTGATAGGCGCTGGCACGTCAAGCGGAGGACGACGACGACGAGGACGACTCCAGCGGCAGCGAAGGCGAGGAGGACACGGGCACCAGCGAGCCACCGTCACCACGCGCTGCCAACAACCTTGTAGCTCGGCGACGGAAGGGTGGCAGTGCAGCGGCGGCTGCAGGGAAACGCCGTGACAGTGAGTCTGGCAGTGAGGGTGATGACATGAGCGGTGGTGAGTCCGATGAAGACGGCCACGGCAATAGTGACGAGGACGAGGAGGAGGAGTGGAAGCTGCTGCAGAAGGAGCGCGGCGATGAGCTGCGACTGGATGCGCTGAAGAAGCTGAGCCCCGAAGTGCACGCGCCCTTCTTTCCCGATGTAAGTCGAAGTGGACCTGTGTGTGTGTGTGGGGGGGGGGGGGGGTACGTGCATGTGGGTGGGTGGTTGGGTGGGGGGCTTACCCAAGTGTGTATGTATTTCCTGCTATTCATTGTGTTGTCTAATGTGGACATGCTCCTCTAGCAGTACACGTATCGGTGATGATCAACATCACATTTTAACCGGACTCTACTTGCAGAAATTCATATATCAGTGATGACACAAGAGAGATTGAAAGCTTTGTCACAACTCTGAGTTTCACGTATTACTACGATCATCAGGCAACTCTCTTCGGACAGTGAAGCACACCACTTGACTATATCAGTGATGATCAGCATCACATTTTAACCGGACTCTACTTGCAGAAATTGGAGCACCGTGAACCCGAACATGAGTAGTGCCATCTGCAGCGTATGTGTTTCCTCAAAGCTCCCCCCCCCCCCCCTCTCACACACATACACACACACACATCTCCATGGGCAACATGTTTGGCCATTGCTCTGTATCAACCTAACTCTATCTGTTGGGTGTGTGTCTGTGGCTGTGCCTGTGCCTGTGTGTGCCTGTGTGTGCCTGTGTGTGTATGTGTCTGTCTGTCTGTCTGTCTTTAGAAAAAGCACGAGAAATGGTGGCTGTATGTGTGTGATCGGCGGAAGAAGGAGATCATCTCTCCGCCCCAGCTTCTTTCCACACTGTCGGGCACAGAGGAGGTTAGGATGCGTTACTTTGTCACCTCTTTTGCACAGCATGATCCTCTTTCTGAACCGTGCGTGTGTGTGTGTGTGTGTGTGTGTGTGAGTGAGTGCGTGCGTGCGTGCACATGCTTGTGCCGGCATTGAATTTGGTTCTGTGTTGTGTGTATGTTGTCCTGTGTGTCATCAGGTGAAGACAGCTCTGCCAGCGCCGCCCAAGCCATGTGTGCTTCACTACACTGTGGTGTTGCGCTCTGACTCCTACCTGGACGCCGAGTACTGTTACAGTCTCAAGATTGACGTGCACGAGGCCAAGGAGATGTCGACGGCGCAAGCGCAATGGAAGGACTTGGAGCAGGAGGAGGAAGACGATGAGGATCTCATGCAGATGAGCTCCGGCGAGGATATGTCAAGTGACTATGATGATTGAGGTATGGGTCCAAGACTCCAAGAACACCACCCTTACATCACCATTACATCACCATCACAGCACCATTACATCACCATTACACCTACACTGGCAAACACTGCAGGGGTGGCGGAACCGGTCCGGTCGCTCAAGCCATGGTCAGGCCAACTGTGCGGAAAAAGTCGGAACGAAACATTTTACGCACTTTTTCAGCCCTGGCCTCCGTACTAAACTGTTTGGACAGCAACCAGTGTTTCCTGCTAAGGAGGTCGTGTGTACCAGTCGCCATATTATACACACCTTGTGAAAGACTACGGCATGGCCGGGCGAATCAAAACATGCTGCTTCCACCAGACCTGTACAGTGCAATGTGTTTCCAGTATCGACCTCTTTTAGACTTTTCAAATAATTCAAATTTTGTTTGAGGTTTCGAGAAAATGTTCCGGGAAACTGGTCTAGCAGTTCCTTCAATTTTCTATAGATTCCGAAGCGGTTGAAAGACAAACATCCAAGTTCGGAAATTTTATGCACAAGGTGATCACAGATTTTATGTGGTATTAATTGTTGACGGTGTTTGTGTGTGCGTGCGTGTGTGTGTGCGTGCGTGCGTGTGCGTGTGTGTGCGTGTGCGTGTGTGTGCTTGCATCTTTTTGCCTACAGGTAGGAGGTGTACTCCTGTTCGTTGAGAAGATGCCGTGGTCCGTATCGATGTCCTTGACCCAGAGTTATCAGGTAGCTGTGCAAGTTGATGGCGTCATCGTATTCTGCAGTGCCTGTGCAGAGACATTGCCTGTTGCCTTTATGACGTCATCATGTCCTGCATTGCCAGCGAAACATTGAAAGCTGTTGTTTTTTGACATCATCGTGTCCTGCAGCGAGACATTACCTGTTGCTTTAGTAGCCACTGCATGCATCCACCCGCTGTCATCCAGCCACTGACGTCACCATCTGTACGGATCTTTTGGGAACGTGCCGACAATATTGCACGCCCTGTACCTTTCTAGTGTCTAGCAGTGCTGCTTATGGAGACACGTGTGCAGGCGTTCCTGTGCATTCGTCTGTCGTGCCCGGATGGCCGGCATTGCAGCTCGGGTCTTGGTGTCTCTCCGGGACACCTGCATCAAGAGCACAATGTCCGCCGCGCTCTCACCAGCTCTTGATACAGCAGCTGCTCTCACTGCTGCTGCAGTGTGTCTGATAATGAAGTGTGACTACTGGCATCCCAGTCGGCATTTACATATTTTGCCAACATCATTGCTTTCGCTTTGCTGCTGCTGCTACTGCAGGGTGGTTGCTTGGATGGACTATTGCGCTGTCTGCTCTTGCTGGTAAGTGGTGCTCGTGCATCAAATACCACGCTCGTGTTGAATTTCTTTGGTGTATGTGATCACGCAAACGAGCAGTAACTATTGCCGCCTGTTCATGGTATTTCATGCGACGTTGCTGCTGCCACACAGGTCTTTGCTGGCTTATATCTGCTACATTATCTGATTGCTCGTCTTTACATGATCCTTTCTTACTTTCTTGTTTGTTTCAGGTTGCCACTTTTGTTTTGATGTTCGCTTATGAACCTGCCCCCCCCCCACATGGATCTTAGCTTGTTATCCGGACCATACCCCAATGCCAAAATGGGAGGGGACCAATGAGACTATGTATGCCCCTCTAGTGGGAGGGGGGCATATCTAAGGATGACCACACCAATGGGTGTCACCAAGAGTACATAACCCCCCAGAGTGTGCAACGCCGATCCAGCTCTGTGTAGGGTCTTGGTCGAGCGGAATCGGATCTTCTGATGTCATGCGTACACTTCACACCAGCGCAAGGCCGGTCTCGAGGCAGGGCACCATTGTTTTTGATCCAAGAGTACCCGCGACTCCCCGGGTTCCCCTCAGATGTGTACGGTATTATGACGCAAAGATCCGATTCCGCTCGACCAAGACCCTATGCAGAGCTGGATCAGGCGTTGCACACTCTGGGGGGTTATGTACTCTTGGTGTCACCTCCCCCCCCCCCCCCCCCTCCCCCTTGGGATTCACTAGGTCCCCTGCTAGACCTACACAGCTCATGGGGTAAACTGGGGGTGGACATCAAACAAACCCAAACTGGTCCGGGTACCAGGCTGTGGGATTTCACCCTGCACCACTGTACCCCTGGGGTACTAGGGTACTGGGTACTGCTCTACCTACTGTACTCTGGGGTTTTGTACTCTTGATAGTATTCCCAACCAAGTGAAAAGAGAAACAAACATTGGTGACCAAGCAAATGAGTATAAGAAGTTAACCTGTGCAATGTGCAGTAGACAGCACAGCAACTAGCCCAATAAACAGGCATGCCGAGGACTAAAAAAAAGAGGAAGAAAAACTGTTTTTGTATGTTGCACGCTCTGAAGTCTAGCATCAAAACTTCAAAATCGGGTTCAGTGCATCTACCGTCGGTGATGGGGGCAATCCCTACAGAACACTCGATGCAATCACTGCGAGAAATGGCGAATGCTGGCCTGTCTTAGCCATCTCGGTGATTTGTTGGAATTCTTTGCCACCGACTGCAGCATGAATTTTACTCAATCCGATCGGTGCACTGTGTGCAGTATGTACGTGCTTGTACACACAACAGCAAGTTGCAGATGCTCTGCAGAAACACACACGAAGTCTATGCTCTCCTCAGCAGCACTACTACTAGTTCTACTTCCTCTCCTGGCTATGTAGCATTACTCCTAGCATTACTGCTGCACCATGGACAGTCCGTGTACTAATCACGCTATCCGGCACATGCACGCAGCTTGTTTGACATGCTCAGCGGACAACACACAGGCTGCACTAATGAGTAATGCTGGTACTCCCTAACACCCTGTACGAGATGAACGGACCCGCATTCAGCTAAGCGTCGACGCTTCGTTAGGATTGGCTGCGGGGACGACTGTTGCCTTCTCCGTACTCCCGTCCATTGCGGTTTGCTGTCGACGGCGTGGCTGTTTACAGCTTGTATGTGCATATTCGGTATGATCTGTGGAGAGGTGCATCTGCCAGGAGCAGACCGGGGTCGACTGGGACTGGTGGCACCAGAGATATGCACCATGCACGCGGCGAGGCTTGCTTGATCTCTACACGAAGACGGCCTCGTCTTTGCCGCCTTTCTTGGTACGCGGTGCGGCAACCGGCTGCTTGGCTTTGCCGGCGGCCAGCTCCTTGGGATGCGAATCACTACGAGAGAGGTGCACCAGCGAGGACTCCCTTCGGCCGGGCACAACTGAAGAGCTGGCAGCGCCTCGTTGCTGCTTCTGCTGCAGGGACAGTCCGGCAACATGGCCATGTACCTCCTCCTCAACACTGTCCTGGGTGCGACACAACGACGGTGGTGGCAATGCCTGTCCCTGAAGAGTTCCCAGCACACGGCCATCTCCGTCGCCCGCTTCTGCTTGGTCGTGTTCATGGCCGCCGTCTGGAAAGACGCTGGACTCGCTTATTCTACCAGCACCCGATGGTGAAGGGCCGCCGGCGTCGGAGGAGTGATGCGGTGACTTCCTCTCCCAGAGCTTCATCTCCGTCGAGCGGAGGTACTGGCGCCGTGCGCCGCTCACCTCCTTGGAGAACAGGCGTCGCTTTGTTGGCGACGTGTCGCCGAGAAGACTCGGCGTGTTCATGAAGCTGCTGGGCATTGTCGTTGCCACAGTGCTGGTGCTGGCGGGTATGGTCCTTGCCGCAGTGCTTGTGCTGTGCGTTGGCGTGCCCTCCGCACTGCTCAACTCCGTCCAGCTGATACGGCTTGCCGGATGGATGGGCGTGCCGCTAGGCGTTACCGACGGCGGGCTCTGTCGTCCTCCGTGCTGTCTCCGTGGTGACGGTGAAGTCCCCGGCGTGGGCACCGGAGCGCCCAGCAGCGGATGTGCGTGCGTCTCCATTATGGTGCTGAGAGTCGACGGCGTTCCGAACATCATGCTTCCACCACCGCCTCCACCACCTCCACCACCTCCTCCACTAGTGCTACCTGTACCTGTTTCAGACACATCATCATGAAACATTTTTGAAATACATGCATGCTTATCGATGTTATCAGGACTCGGTAAGAAAATGCAGCCTCGGTGCTCTGTGACCGAGTAACAGTGCATGCAACGAACTACTTGTTATAGTTATTAGAGAGGTTCGAAACTTAACGTGTGATAACTTTAAAAAAATTCACGGTTCGCGTAAGACTCGGCTGAAAGCAGAGTTTTCTGCGTCCGCAGGAACGCCACCACCCTCTAGGAGGGTGCAGATGCAGCTCCTAAGCAGTGGGAGGTGAGTAGATCAGACCCACCACAAACTGGTCAAAGACCGAAATCCTATCTCTTAATTTGCTTGCCGAAAATCCTATATATAGGATTTGAAAATGTGTGCCTTTTATTGCCGTTGTTATTGGTCATCACGACCAATAATAACGACATAATGGTTTTCATGGAAGTTGTAAATATGTTTGAGGCATGAATGTTCACATTTAAGATTCAAAGGGCGATAATATTTCTGATGAATACCCATTTTCAGCAATAATTGGAAATTTGAGCATAATTGTTCAGCTGCTGTCATGGAAAGGACTGAAGCAGTGAATGTGCAGAAGAACATTGCAGGTGTGGCACGGGGTGGTTTCATGACGACATATCGCACATGCCCTCATGAAACTACCAGTTTTAAGGATAAAACAAGGTCCAATAAAATCTCAAATCCTATATATAGGATTCGAAAAATAGGGCACAGGCCTTAGTGATATTGGGCAAGGAGATGAGCCTGAGATGTTAGTGTTTGAAAAAATTATCTTATTCAACTCTCGATGTCTACTAAGACCTAGCAAGGAAGAATTGGTCACATACTTTTTGCTATTCTCATGCCACACCCATTTTGAGTTGAAAAATATGACCAAAATCCTATATAAGTGAAGCGGACATTACAAAATGATGAATGAGAATACATGTATCTAAAATGGTTGTTCCTAATCGATTTTCTTGAGACTATCATCAGGGAAAATCGTCTCACAATAGAGGCTATACGGAGAAACAAACTACTTATAGGTTATCGGATAGTGGGAAGTATACAAGGTGAGATGTGAAAAAAAAACTAAAGTGGGAGAGAAGACGAAAGAAATTAGAAGAAAAGATGTGAGAGTGTTCTGACGGTGTGAGCTACTACAAAAGGTGAGTGAAATGTTTTCATCCGTAAACACAATCCTAATCTATGCATTCAGAAAGAAAATGTCACAAAACTGAGACTCTTCACCTAGCATTCACACACGTATTCATTCGCATACACCTACACCTCACAGTTCCTCACTCTATCACATTCACCTGCTTCCACGCCTTCATTTCACTCACCTTTTGTAGTAGCTCACACCGTCAGAACACTCTCACATCTTTTCTTCTAATTTCTTTCGTCTTCTCTCCCACTTTATTTTTTTTTTTCACATCTCACCTTGTATACTTCCCACTATCCGATAACCTATAAGTAGTTTGTTTCTCCGTATAGCCTCTATTGTGAGACGATTTTCCCTGATGATAGTCTCAAAAAAATCGATTAGGAACAACCATTTTAGATACATGTATTCTCATTCAAAATCCTATATATAGGATTTAGCAAATTAAGAGATTCGCTGTATCCATGCTTCCCCCGTGCCAGGCCACAAGTACCCAATAATTAACTGTGGGTCGCAGCACGGCCGGACAAATCCTTCTGAACCAAGCAGGACTTGAACCTGGTACCCTCTGTTTCTCAATCATGCTCTTGGGCCATCCCACCATGCCTGCCTGCTTTAATAGTATGTAAGTGGGCGGGAAAGCCCGCGAAATCGCGAGTGTGCACTCCACTTACCGAAAGTTGTCTACGTAGAGTACGTATGTAGGGCTCTGATAACGGATGTGTTCTGTAAGTGGTTTGGGGTACAGATTCATGACTCTTTCCTCAGGTCGACCCTGTTGTACACTGCCGCGTTCCGAGTTGCCAAGGGCAGCTACGGGACACGTGATTTGAAAACTCCGTATGGCGGAACACAACTCCGCATGCAATGTATGTAAGACCTTCCGCAGATCGACTCTGTTTAAAAAAAAAAGTAACATTATCATGTTATGCAGAACCTCTCTTATCAGTATGCCAGGAGAGATCTCTAGCACAACCACATACATAATATGATACCAAGAGTACATAACCCCCCAGGGTGTGCAACGCCTGATACAGCTCTGCATAGGGTCTTGGTCGAGCGGAATCGGATCTTTGCGTCATAATACCGTACAAATCTGAGGGGAACCCGGGGAGTCGCGGGTACTCTTGGATCAAAAACAATGGTGCCCTGCCTCGAGACCGGCCTTGCACTGGTGTGGAGTGTACGCATGACATCAGAAGATCCGATTCCGCTCGACCAAGACCCTATGCAGAGCTGGATCGGCGTTGCACACTCTGGGGGGTTATGTACTCTTGATGATACACATTACACACACATGCATGTGCTCCACCACCATCACCATCACCACCACCACCAGCAGCAGCAGCAGCACCACCACCACCACTACCACCGCCGCACATTCTTTGCTATAAACTCACACAATATTATCACATGAATTCCATGTGCGTGTCCATACCTGCCTCACCGCTCTCGGGCTCTGCTTCGTAGATCTGCTTCTGTACATTCTTGCGGCTGCCTACAATCGTCGGTCCGCCGCCTAGCGATGTCTCAATGTCCGCTACCCGGCGATTGGCCAAGGTCATGTCAGAAGAGCAGCCTTGCTCAAGAGCTCGCTCTCGCTCTGCGCGTCTCTTGCGATGGCAGCAGCAGCCGATGAGCAGTCCCAGGAGCAAGCAGAACACAGCAACCCCTGCCACTATGGCTAGCAGTGTGGAGAGTGGAAATTTGTCATTGCCTATATGGACACACACAATGACGTCATAAATGCAAGCGGAGATGCACGATGACATCATAAATGCAAGCGGAGATGCGCCAGATGCACGATTGTAGTTCTATCAAACGCTTTGTACAACTCTAATTTCAGAATTTTTCGGTGCCCAATATTTTCGGTGTGAGGGCAAAAGGCCAGGTTAGGTGAACAGAAATTTTCGGTACAGGGAAGCAGTTCCCTATTGGATTATGTGTGTTAGTGTTTGTTCGGTGTATTGAAATTTTAGGTATGAAACACATGCACCGAAAGTACCGAAAATAAAAGTACACCGATAATTTGTGAAATTGCAGTATGTCCTTCACTCAGAAGTCAGCACTGACAACATTCAGATCCGTGCTAGTGCATTGATCATCAGGTGCAGGATACTAATACTTCAAATAGAAATTATGAACCATGAAACCAACGAAAGTGGCAGGTACAATAATAAACTTTCAAGCAGCCAAGCGTGATGGCAACAAACCCAACCGCTATCTGACACAAGTGCAAGCACAAACTTCATACACAGATACACACATGTAACGAATTTATGTTACGACTATGATTTACGCATGTCGTTGTATTTGGTTCTTGTCTTGTGGAGTCCAGTGTCGGATGTCATATATGGTCTAGGTGTACGCGTGAGCATGGTGTGATGTGTGACGTTTATGGTATGTGGTGCATGCAAGAGTACGCGTTGTCAGAGTGTGAGGATGTGCTTCCGTCTGTGTGAGAGTGACTGTCAAGTGAATGCTGTACATGCGCAGTGCTAGTTTGGTCTGGGAATGAGAGTCATGTGTGATTCGTCCGTGGTCTGGTTGTCTTGGTCTTGGTCATGTGTTCTGTACGTATTAGTCCCTGATTGGTCGTCACTATTTGTCCTCGGTTTATTACTGCTTGTTCTTTGTTGATCCTTTGAGTCTTTTCCCGGGAGTCTTTCCTGTTGTCCTTCCCGTCGTCGTTTTCTGTCTAGTCGTTTTCGTCTCTCTCTCCTCCTGCGCCCTCGTCATTTCTTGGTATAATATAAGAGTATTGAAGATACAATCAAGAGTTTGCGTTGTTGTGTGGCGAGGGCCAGGGGGAGAAGCATTTCCGTTACAGTGGCGCCCAACGTGGAGACTGGCTCGAACCTGATTCTACTTCTCCACAAGTAGTTTATGCTCGCCGTGGTCCTTTCGTTTCTCCTTTCAGTTTTGTCGACGTGTGGCGACTTTATTATTTTTATTTCGGCAAGCGGAACTGGTCGTTCATCAGGCTGGTTCAACCTCGCGCTGCACTACAAGCAAGCCTCTTTCCCGGTGAGTCGCTCCCGGAACGGGATGTCGTTGTTGTCGTACTAGTCTAATTGTTGCATGTG